GGGGGTGGCAGTGTTGGGGGGTGGCAGTGTCGGGGGATGGCAGTGTTGGGGGGTGGCAGTGTTGGGGGGTGGCAGTGTTGGGGGGTGGCAGTGTCGAGGGATGGCAGTGTTGGGGGATGACAGTGTTGGGGGGTGGCAGTGTCGGGGGATGGCAGTGTTGGGGGATGACAGTGTTGGGGGATGACAGTGTTGGGGGGTGGCAGTGTTGGGGGATGGCAGTGTTGGGGGATGACAGTGTTGGGGGGTGGCAGTGTTGGGGGGTGGCAGTGTTGGGGGATGGCAGTGTTGGGGGGTGGCAGTGTTGGGGGGTGGCAGTGTTGGGGGATGGCAGTGTTGGGGGGTGGCAGTGTTGGGGGATGACAGTGTTGGGGGGTGGCAGTGTTGGGGGGGTGGCAGTGTTGGGGGATGGCAGTGTTGGGGGGTGGCAGTGTTGGGGGGTGGCAGTGTATATCTGCTCACCTCACGCCGTGTGACTGCACATTGTACAATGTTTCGGTCTAACTGCACTTTTGGCCCCATATGGACTCAGAAGATCAGCTCACTGAATGAAGACTCCACAGTGAGCTCCTCCTGATGAGTGTCTTGGTGTCACCCGTATTCCTCATTAACAAGAACTCCACATGGAGCTTTATCCTGTTATACTTTTATTCATCAATCAGACACAAGAAATGTTCACGTTCCAGAGGTGTATATTGCACCATGTATGATGAAGATCCAGTGATGTACTGATTATACACAAGAAATGCCCTCATGTTCCGGAGGTGTATATTGCACCATGTATGATGAACACCCAGTGATGTACTGATCGGACACAAGAAATGCTCTCACGTTCCGGAGGTGTATATTGCACCATGTATGATGAACACCCAGTGATGTACTGATTATACACAAGAAATGCTCTCACGTTCCGGAGGTGTATATTGCACCATGTATGATGAAGATCCAGTGATGTACTGATTACACACAAGAAATGCTCTCATGTTCCGGAGGTGTATATTGCACCATGTATGATGAACACCCAGTGATGTACTGATTATACACAAGAAATGCTCTCACGTTCCGGAGGTGTATATTGCACCATGTATGATGAAGATCCAGTGATGTACTGATTATACACAAGAAATGCTCTCACGTTCCGGAGGTGTATATTGCACCATGTATGATGAAGATCCAGTGATGTACTGATTATACACAAGAAATGTCCTCACGTTCCGGAGGTGTATATTGCACCATGTATGATGAAGATCCAGTGATGTACTGATTATACACAAGAAATGCCCTCATGTTCCGGAGGTGTATATTGCACCATGTATGATGAACACCCAGTGATGTACTGATCGGACACAAGAAATGCTCTCACGTTCCGGAGGTGTATATTGCACCATGTATGATGAAGATCCAGTGATGTACTGATTATACACAAGAAATGCTCTCACGTTCCGGAGGTGTATATTGCACCATGTATGATGAACATCCAGTGATGTACTGATCGGACACAAGAAATGCCCTCATGTTCCGGAGGTGTATATTGCACCATGTATGATGAACATCCAGTGATGTACTGATCGGACACAAGAAATGCTCTCATGTTCCGGAGGTGTATATTGCACCATGTATGATGAACACCCAGTGATGTGCTGATTGGACACAAGAAATGCTCTCATGTTCTGGAGGTGTGTATTGCACCATCTATGATGAACACCCAGTGATGTGCTGATTGGACACAAGAAAATGCTCTCACGTTCCGGAGGTGTGTATTGCACCATCTATGATGAACACCCAGTGATGTACCGATTACACACAAGAAATGCTCTCACGTTCTGGAGGTGTGTATTGCACCATGTATGATGAACATCCAGTGATGTACTGATCAGACACCAGATGGCAGTATCATCTCAGCAGCAGAGTCCTGTACATGCTGAGTCCAGACGCCATCTGTATTGTCACATGACTAGTGACGAAACAAGTCGGGGAGGAGTGTGCGGATGACGTCATGACGTTACCAGTCATCGGGATAGCGGCCTGAAGTACTCTACAAACAGCTCCTGGAATGGCATTATAGCAGGCAATAGCATTCACTAAGGGGCCCCGGGCTTCGCCTCGCATCACATGACGGACGGTGTCTGGTCTCAGCATGTACAGGACTCTGCTGCTGAGATGATACTGCCATCTTGTGTCCAATCAGTACATCACTGGATCTTCATCATACATGGTGCAATAAACACCTCCAGAACGTGAGGGCATTTCTTGTGTCCAATCAGTACATCACTGGATCTTCTTCATACATGGTGCAATATACACCTCCGGAACGTGAGGACATTTCTTGTGTCCAATCAGTACATCACTGGGTGTTCATCATACATGGTGCAATATACACCTCCGGAACGTGAGGACATTTCATGTGTCTGATTAGTACATCACTGGATCTTCATCATACATGGTGCAATAAACACCTCCGGAAAACATGAGGGCATTTCTTGTGTCCAATCAGTACATCACTGGATCTTCATCATACATGGTGCAATATACACCTCCGGAACGTGAGGACATTTCATGTGTCTGATTAGTACATCACTGGATCTTCATCATACATGGTGCAATAAATACCTCCGGAACATGAGGGCATTTCTTGTGTCCAATCAGTACATCACTGGATCTTCATCATACATGGTGCAATAAACACCTCTGGAACGTGAGGACATTTCATGTGTCTGATTAGTACATCACTGGATCTTCATCATACATGGTGCAATAAACACCTCCGGAACATGAGGGCATTTCTTGTGTGTAATCAGTACATCACTGGGTGTTCATCATACATGGTGCAATATACACCTCCGGAACATGAGGGCATTTCTTGTGTCCAATCAGTACATCACTGGGTGTTCATCATACATGGTGCAATATACACCTCCGGAACATGAGGGCATTTCTTGTGTCCAATCAGTACATCACTGGGTGTTCATCATACATGGTGCAATATACACCTCCGGAACATGAGGGCATTTCTTGTGTCCAATCAGTACATCACTGGATCTTCATCATACATGGTGCAATAAACACCTCCGGAACGTGAACATTTCTTGTGTCCAATCAGTACATCACTGGGTGTTCATCATACATGGTGCAATAAACACCTCCGGAACGTGAACATTTCTTGTGTCCAATCAGTACATCACTGGATCTTCATCATACATGGTGCAATATACACCTCCGGAACGTGAACATTTCTTGTGTCTGATCAGTACATCACTGGGTGTTCATCATACATGGTGCAATATACACCTCCGGAACGTGAACATTTCTTGTGTCCAATCAGTACATCACTGGGTGTTCATCATACATGGTGCAATATACACCTCCGGAACGTGAACATTTCTTGTGTCTGATTGATGAATAAAAGTATAACAGGATAAAGCTCCATGTGGAGTTCTTGTTAATGACGAATACGGGTGATAAGTTCCGGTTTGGCCGCGTTCCCCGGACGCAGAACTCTGTCTCCGCCCCCCAGGAACGCCATTCTGGGAGATAATCTCAGAAGGTTGGGGAGACATTGTCGTGGGGGGGGGGTTCCCCGTTTGGGGGGAGGAGTCCATTCCTGGAGCTCCTCAGGGGCGGTACACTCACCAGGACTGATGGCTGGGGACAGATCGTCATCCAGCGATATCTGAGGTCGATGTATGGAGAGGACCCTGAGGGTGGGGGAGGGGCATTATCAACATTCTCACTCCTGATTGGACAGAGGTGAATGTTGGGTGAAAACATCAATACATTTCCCCCAATGCTCACATTCACCTCCTCCCCTCTTCCCGCCTCTTCTGCCTTCCCATGTGACCTCTGTTCTACACATCGCATAATCAGGGTGTGTCAGAGGTGTGGCTCCACCTACTATCAGAGACCGGCCCAGGAGGACCTCCTGTCAGCAGGCCTGTGGCTCCTCCTACTCACTAGCCGGCCCAAGACTCCTCCTCCTTATATCATAGGCTGACCTGTGTCCCCCCCGCCTACTGCTGGGACGTCTCCTATCAGTTGTTGGCCCTGGGCCCCTCCCTATATAGCTCCTCCCATCTGTTAGCAGTCGCCCAGAGGCTCCTCCCCCTGTAGGTAGTCCTCCCGCTCTCATTGGTCGGCTCGGAGGGCAGTGTTGGCATTTTCTATTGACAAAACATGAAAATTTCACTGACGGAGAACATTATTATTTACTGACAACCGCGACAACCAGTAACGTGGGGAGACTGGCCACGCCCAGGACAAGTCATGTGACTAGTGTACACCTAAAGAAACCATCACCCCGCCCCCGAGGTTCCACCTCCTGTCATTTGCTGACCCGGGGCTCCTCCCCCTTGGTTTCTTAACCCTTTTAGTATCTGAGGCTCCTCCTCTTTCCTCTCTCATTGGCTGTTTTACTTGTAGCTCCTCCCATCTGTCAGTAGCCTGCTAGAGGCTCCTCCCCCTATATTTAGTCTTCTCGCTCTCATTGGCCGGCTCAGGGTTGCTACCGCTGTAACTCCTCCCCTTATAAATGGCCGGGCCTGAGGCTCCTCCTCCAGCAACTCCCCTACCTGCAAGTTGCTGACCCCCGGCTCCTCCCCATATCTCGTCCTCCCTTTCTCATCGGCCGGTCCGATGCTCCTCCCTCTGTCATAGCCCGAGGCTCCTCCCCTGTAGCTTGTGCTTCTCCTCATTGGCCGACCCGGGGCTCCTCCTCCTTCAATATCCGGGGCTCCTCCCCCCGTAGCTCATCTTCCCTTCCTGTTTGGCCGTCCCAGGGCTCCTCCCCCTGCCAGTGTGGCTTTCTCCCATCTTCATTGGCCAGTCTGAGGCTCCTCCCCCTGTCATACCCGGAGATCCTCCCCCCGCAGATCGTCCTTCCATCCCCATTGGCCGGCCCGGTGCTCCTCCCTCCTGTCATACCCGGAGCTCCTCCCCCCGCAGATCGTCCTCCCCTCCCCATTGGCCAGCCCGGGGCTCCTCCCCCCTGCCAGTGTCCGGGCTCCGGGATGGCGGTGTGTCGGTGGTCCCCCTCCCCCCTGGTCCTCCTGCTGGTCTCCCGGTGTTGCTCGGGTTGGTTGCTGGGCCTGCGGCCGGAGGACACGGTGGGGGGTCGGGTGTCGCTGGAGGGGGGGACGCTGCGGGCGGCGGAGGGGAGCCGCTTCTCTCTCCGCTTGTATTACCAGCAGCCCCCGGTGAACGGCAGCGGCCCCCGGCTGGTGTTCGTGGAGGATCCGGCGGTGTGCGGGGAGGGGGGTTCCCCGGATGTGGAGGTGTCGGGGCCCCTGGGGGCCCCCGGCGGAGGATCCGCGGTGGTGGAGGTGCGGGTGGGGGGGTTGCGGAAGGGTGAGCGGGGGCGGGTCTTCTCGGTGTGCGCCTATGATGGGCGGAGTTGGGAACACCATGGGGGCGGGGAGTTCTCCCTGGAGGTTCTGGAGGTGGAGAAGGGTCTGTCTGGGGGGGTGCGGGTGTTGGTGTCGGGGGTCCTCCTGGGGGTGTCGGCGATATTTGGGGGTCTGCGTCTCTCCCTCCTCTCCCTGGACCCGGTAGAGCTCCGCGTCCTGCAGAACAGCGGCTCGGAGGCGGAGAAGGCGCAGGCGGGGCGTGTCCAGTCTGTGCGGGGGCGGGGCTCCTTCCTGCTCTGCTCCCTCCTGCTGGGGAACGCTCTGGCCAACGCCTCCCTGGCCGGCTGGCTGTATCGGGCCGTCCTCCCGGCGGAGCCGTGGTTGGCGGTCCTGGCGTGTACGGCGGGGGTCTTCCTGTGCGGGGAGGTGGCCCCCTATTCCGTGTGTTCCCGCCACGGCCTGGCCATCGCCTCGCGGAGCGTCTGCCTGAGCCGCCTGCTGATGGCCGTCACCTTCCCGCTGTCCTTCCCTCTGTCCCGCCTCCTGGACTGGGCCCTCCGCCAGGAGATCAGCACCTTCTACACCCGCGAGAAGCTGCTGGAGATGCTGCGCGCCGCCGACCCCTACAATGACCTGCTGAAGGAGGAGCTTAACATCATCCAGGGGGCGCTAGAGCTTCGCACCAAGGCCGTGGAGGACGTCCTCACCCCGCTGGGGGACTGCTTCATGCTGCGCGCCGACGCCGTCCTCGACTTCACCACCGTCTCCCACATCCTGCGCAGCGGCTACACCCGCATCCCCGTCTACGAGGGCGACCACCGCGCCAACATCGTGGACATCCTCTTCGTCAAGGACCTGGCCTTCGTGGACCCCGACGACTGCACCCCCCTCCAGACTGTCACCCGCTTCTACCACCGCCCCCTCCACTGCGTCTTCAACGACACCCGCCTGGATGCCGTGCTCGAGGAGTTCAAGAAGGGTGAGGAGGAGCGTGAGCCGTCATCCCCATCCTCTACTGTGCCTCGTTTTTCATCATCATCCCCATCCTCCGCTGTGCCCTGTTCATCATCATCATCATCCTCCACTGTGTGCCCCATTCTTCATCATCATCCCCATCCTCCAATGTGCCCTGTTCATCATCATCATCATCATCCTGCGCTGTGTGCCCCATTCTTCATCATCATCATCCTCCGCTTTGCCCCGTTCTTCATCATCATCATCATCCTCCGCTGTGTGCCCCATTCTTCATCATCATCCCCATCCTCCGCTGTGCCCTGTTCATCATCATCCCCATCCTGCGCTGTGTGCCCCATTCATCATCATCCTCCGCTTTGCCCCGTTCATCATCATCATCATCCTCGCTGTGTGCCCCATTCATCATCATCATCCTCCGCTGTGCCCCATTCTTCATCATCGTCATCCTCCACTGTGTGCCCCGTTCTTCATCATCATCCTCCGTTGTGTGCCCCATTTTTCATCATCATCCCCATCCTCCGCTGTGCCCCGTTCATCATCATCCTTCTCCACTATGTGCCCCATTCTTCATCATCAACCCCATCCTCCACTGTGCTCTGTTCTTCATCATCATCATCATCCTCCGCTGTGTGCTCCGTTCTTCATCATCATCATCCTCCGCTGTGTGCTCCGTTCTTCATCATCATCCTCCACTATGTGCCCCAGTCTTCATCATCATCATCATCATCCTCCACTATGTGCCCCAGTCTTCATCATCATCGTCCTCCACTATGTGCCCCATTCTTCATCATCCTCATCCCCTACTATATATGCCCCACATGTCTTCATCATCATCATCATCCTCCACTATGTGCCCCATTCTTCATCATCATCATCCTCCACTATGTGCCCCATTCTTCATCATCATCATCCACTATGTACCCTGTTCATCATCATCATCCTCCAGTATGTGCCCCATTCTTCATCATCATCATCCTCCACTATGTGCCCCATTCTTCATCATCATCATCTCCACTATGTGCCCCATTCTTCATCATCATCATCATCATCCTCCACTATGTGCCCCATTCTTCATCATCATCATCCACTATGTACCCTGTTCATCATCATCATCCTCCAGTATGTGCCCCATTCATCATCATCATCCTCCACTATGTGCCCCATTCTTCATCATCATCATCCTCCACTATGTGCCCCATTCTTCATCATCATCATCCTCCACTATGTGCCCCATTCTTCATCATCATCATCCACTATGTACCCTGTTCATCATCCTCCAGTATGTGCCCCATTCTTCATCATCATCATCATCCACTATGTGCCCCATTCATCATCATCATCATCCTCCACTATGTGCCCCATTCTTCATCATCATCATCCTCCACTGTGCCCCATTCTTCATCATCATCATCCTCCACTATGTGCCCCATTCTTCATCATCATCATCCTCCACTATGTGCCTCATTCTTCATCATCATCATCCTCCACTATGTGCCTCATTCTTCATCATCATCCTCCACTATGTGCCTCATTCTTCATCATCATCCTCCACTATGTGCCCCATTCTTCATCATCATCCTCCACTATGTGCCCCATTCTTCATCATCATCATCCTCCACTATGTACCCTACTCATCATCATCATCCTCCTCCACTATGTACCCTACTCATCATCATCATCCTCCTCCACTATGTACCGTATTCGCCATCCTCACCAACAACACCCAGCTGGATGTTTGTGGAATTCAAAAAGGGTGAGACCAACAACACCCATCGCCATGCTGGAGGAGTTCAAGAAGGGTGAGGAGGAATATGATGCATGATCCATCATCCCTATCCTTCACTATGTACATCATTCACCATCATCATCCTTCATTCTGCCCTACTCACCATCATCATCCCTAACACCCAGATGGACACCATGCTGGAGGAGTTCAAGAAGGGTGAGACCAACAGAAGAGTATGGAAGTCACACCCTGCATCATACCTATCCTTCACCCCGTGCAATTCATCATCATCACCATCCCTATCCTTCACCCCGTGCAATTCATCATCATCATCACCATCCCTATCCTTCACCCCACGCAATTCATCATCATCATCACCATCCCTATCCTTCACCCCACGCAATTCATCATCACCATCCCTATCCTTCACCCCACGCAATTCATCATCACCATCCCTATCCTTCACCCCATGCAATTCATCATCATCACCATCCCTATCCTTCACCCCACACAATTCATCATCATCACCATCCCTATCCTTCACCCCACGCAATTCATCATCACCATCCCTATCCTTCACCCCACGCAATTCATCGTCATCATCACCATCCCTATCCTTCACCCCGCACATTTCATTATTATCACCATCCCTATCCTTCACCCCGCACATTTCATCATCATCATCATCACCATCCCTATCCTTCACCTTGGGCTCCATTCATCATTCACTATCTGCTCTGTTCACCGTCAGCTTCGCTCTTTTGACCTCATCTTCCCTCCCTGGATCCGATCCTTGTCTTCCCTCCTCCCCGTATCCGACCTTCATCTTCCCTCCTCCCCGGATCCGACCCTCGTCTTCCCTCCTCCCCGGGCCCGACCCTCGTCTTCCCTCCTCCCCGGGCCGGACCCTCGTCTTCCCTCCTCCCCGGCCCGACCCTCCTCCTCCCCGGGCTCGATCCTCGTCTTCCCTCCTCCCCGGGCCCGATCCTCGTCTTCCCTCCTCCCCGGGCCCGACCCTCATCTTCCCTCCTCCCTGGATCCGATCCTTGTCTTCCCTCCTCCCCGTATCCGACCTTCATCTTCCCTCCTCCCCGGATCCGATCCTCGTCTTCCCTCCTCCCCGGGCCCGACCCTCGTCTTCCCTCCTCCCCGGGCCCGACCCTCGTCTTCCCTCCTCCCCGGGCCCGACCCTCGTCTTCCCTCCTCCCCGGGCCCGACCCTCGTCTTCCCTCCTCCCCGGGCCCGACCCTCGTCTTCCCTCCTCCCCGGGCTCGACCCTCGTCTTCCCTCCTCCCCGGGCCCGACCCTCGTCTTCCCTCCTCCCCGGGCCCGACCCTCGTCTTCCCTCCTCCCCGGGCCCGACCCTCGTCTTCCCTCCTTCCCGGGCCCGACCCTCGTCTTCCCTCCTCCCCGGGCCCGACCCTCGTCTTCCCTCCTCCCCGGGCCCGACCCTCGTCTTTTTCCTCCTCCCCGGGCCCGACCCTCGTCTTCCCTCCTCCCCGGGCCCGACCCTCGTCTTCCCTCCTCCCCCCGGGCCCGACCCTCGTCTTCCCTCCTCCCCCCCCGGGCCCGACCCTCGTCTTCCCTCCTCCCCCCGGGCCCGACCCTCGTCTTCCCTCCTCCCCCCGGGCCCGACCTTCGTCTTCCCTCCTCCCCCCGGGCCCGACCTTCGTTCTTCCCTCCTCCCCCCGGGCCCGACCTTCGTCTTCCCTCCTCCCCCCGGGCCCGACCTTCGTCTTCCCTCCTCCCCCCGGGCCCGACCTTCGTCTTCCCTCCTCCCCCCGGGCCCGACCTTCGTCTTCCCTCCTCCCCCCGTGCCCGACCTTCGTCTTCCCTCCTCCCCCCGGGCCCGACCTTCGTCTTCCCTCCTCCCCCCGGGCCCGACCCTCGTCTTCCCTCCTCTCCGGGCCCGACCTTCGTCTTCCCTCCTCCCCCCGGGCCCGACCCTCGTCTTCCCTTCCCTTGAGCCAATCCTCGTCTTCCCTCCCCGGACCCTCCCTAGGGCCGTCACCCACTGCCATGTCATTTATCAGTATCCTGGGGTCCCTGTGATTGGTCAGTCGTGCGCCCTGTGTAACCCCCAGAATGGTAATTTCATCTGTGAATGGGATGCAGACGTCTACAGGAATGTACATCGGGTATAGAAAAGAATCCCCGTCCCCCATCTTAAAATATTCACATTTGTTGCTTTGCAGCCTGAAATGAAGACAGACACAGATTTTGTTTTATCCCGCTGTATTTACTCAGAAAATAGTAAAAATTTTGAACCACTGAGTTGGAGAAAAGATCATCATCCCCTCCTAACTCAATCACCTCCTCTATGGCATACAAAGCCATGTGACTCCCCTGTGATCATTGTGATTGGCTCAGCATGAAAACAGCTTTCCTGGAGCATTTCAGTCTCTGGTAGTACAGCTGAAGCAAACAATCACCTATGCATGGCCAGGCACTGTCACCAGGATAAAGTTGTGGACAGGCACAAGTCAGGAGATGGATACAAAGTATTTATCAATGCCTAGAAGCAGAGCGACGTCTATGAAAAAGGGGGAGGGATTTGGTAGAACACAGCCCCTCACTGGATCAGGACGTCGCTCCAACCTGGAGGAAAGAGCCAGGAGGAAACTGGTCAGAGAGGCCACCAAGAGGCCTCCAGCAACTCTGAAGCTGTGTCAGGAATGGATGACACAGAGTGGTCATTGTGTGCATGTGACACCAAGATCACCAATCCTCCACCAATGGGGCTTGTATGGGAGGCGTGCAAGAAAAAAGTCGATCCTCAAGAAAGGCCGCATGCCGTCACCATGGAGCTTTGCCAAAACGCACCTTGAAGGTTCTGAGGTCACATGGAGAAAGGGGATCTGGTCAGAGGAGACCACAATGGAAGGCTTGGCCTCAACACTAAACCAGATGTCTGGTGGAAATCCAAGCCAGCTCACCATCCAAAGACCACCATTCCTACAGTACAGCATGGAGGGGGGAATGTCCTGTTATGGGGGGTGGTAATATCCTGTTATGGGGGGGTTTCTCTGTAGCACTTGTCAGGATAGAAGGAACAATGGATGGGGCAAAATCCCATCCCATTCTAGAGGAAAATCTGCAGAGTGTTGTCCATGGGAAGAAAGTTCACCTTCCAACATGGCAATGAGCCAAAGCACACAGCACCCCCAGTGGTTGGAGGAGAAGGTGGTGAATATCCCGGCATGGCCTAGTCAGAGTCCAGACTTCAACCCCATTGAAAATCTGTGGAATGGTTGAAGCCGCCGCCCACAAACCACCAT